GGGTCCAGTTTGCCGACTAAAAATCATTGATGGGGGGGGGGGGGTCACACCTCCACACCCCTCTATCGCGCCGGTTTTGACTATAAACTCTGAATCCATAAAATTGATAAACTCTAAATCCATAAAAATGATAAACTCTAAATCCATAAAATTGGATTCAAAGTCCAGCAGAATACGATTGTGAAAAGTATTATTCTCTTTTAATAGTTTAAACATGGTAACTTTTTGCGGCATCAACATTGGATAATTTTACAACAGCGATTAAAATAATGATTTTGTTATCATCTTCAATGCTTGATGTTCTTGATATTAAATCTGATTAACACATTGAAGTTGATGTTGTTTAATAAAAGATAAAGAGACTAAAAAAGGGGATTTTTTAATGGTGGATGGTTATATGGTGGATAGTTTTTAATGATTTGATGGAGTAGTATATACGCATTTTAATTTTAAATTAGATTTTTCTTAATTTAATTTTTTAATGGGACGTTAGAAAAGATTGTAGTTTCAATAAAAAATATTATTTCCGCTTCAAATTTTTAGGCCATATTCTTCATTAAAATTTTGAGGGACTGAACCTTAACCTGAAATTCGAAAAATTAAAGTTTATTTAAAATTTAAACTATTTCTTATATAAAAATAGTGGGAATCTTTTTAAAATATTAGACTAGAGGGGTGGGGTGAGATAAGATTTCATGTAAATATAGGGGTTGCGTAAATTTGTTTTGTTCGCTTGAAAGCAACCACTTTTAAGTTTGGAGTTACTAGAAAACAATGAATAAAGTTAAAGAGGAAATGGTTGAGAGAAGACTTAAAAAGTTTTAGGTTGTATGAGTCAGGAAAACATGAAGATGGGAGAGAGTTCCAAAGAATTTAAGTACTGGGAAAAAAACTAGACAAATAAAAGTTTTCAGAGCATTCAGGGATAGATAAGTAAAAAGATGAAAATTTACTAAATGAAAAGTCAGGCAAGAGTGAGTTTTGGTTGATAGAGCTAAAGATGGTAGCTCCTTTGAGAAGTTACCATGATAATATTTGTAGAAAAGAGAAAGAGGTGCAACTTTACAATCATGGGAGAGAGACTCAAGCATTGCAGATATAGCAGGTCCAACTACCTTTACAGTGCTTTTTTAGACTTTGTCTAAAAGAAAAATAGCATCATTAAAAGAATAAGCCCAAATATGACAATAGAACTCCATACAGGGTCAAATAAGAGATTTGTCACTGTATGGAGTTATAGAATCAGGAGTAAAAAATGGCAATCACGATAAAGAGGAGCAGCCTTAGGAAATTTAACAATCAAGTGTATATATAGTTTTCATGAGAGGTTAACAATTTACGAGAAAACTTATTGTCAAGACAGGAATATCAAGTTAAGTCGTCAGCAAATAGGTCCACTTTAGATATAAAATTGTCAGAAAAATTGTTAATGTTCAGAACAGTCCCAAGGATAGACCCTTAAGGTATCCCAGAAGTTACTAGAAGTGGAGAAGAGTGTCTTTGAGGATGACTTTAATAAAGTGGTTAGAAGGAAATGATTTGATAATCTCAAAAATTTTCCTTTTTACACCATATAAAACAAGTTTATGGAGAAGTCCAGAATACCAAACTTTATCAAAAGCTTTAGATATGTCGAGAGGAATAGCCTTAGCTTCGCCGTCTCCATATAATGCACGATTGAATATTTCAGTTAAATCTGTAAGCAAGTCAGCCGTAGAACGAGAAGATTGAAACACATATTGTTTTCTGACCGTAAGTTATTTGATTCAAGATGAGATGTTAATTATGATAATTTGCAGATAATTATGATAATTAATGATGATAATTTGTTGATTTTTGATGATTGGTTGATGAAAGACTCAAAGACCTTACTAACAGTAGAGAGAAGACAGTTCGGATAATAGTAAAAGAGGTCAGAATGTTTTCCACAAAATTTAAAAATTGGATGTCATTTTCCAGCAGGCAGAAAGAAAGTTCTGGAAAATACTTTTGTAAGACCACGACAGGAATGTTGTTTAGACGAAAGGCCGTTGAAGAGTTTGATTGAAATATGACTTTAGAACGGAAGCTGGAGTTATTTGAATGCCTAACAGTTGGTTAACCTATTTAACTAGAATAAGTATGGTCATATAATTATAGAGTCGAATTGGAAGAAAAGTTCTATGCAAATAGTTTTATTTTATTCTTGGTAATAAGATTAGTCCCACAAGTTAGAGATGGAGTGTTTGACCTACCTTAAATATAGTGTTAATGACACTGTTGAAAATTCTTCAAAAGTTTTTAGAGCCTAACTTCTGAGAAATGAAGATATTTAGTAAGCTGGGTATAATGGAGCTTAGTATCAGACAGCATCTTTTTACATTGATTTCTTACAATAATAAATAATTTGTTCTCAAGAAAGTTGTTCTTTTAAAAAAGATTAAAAGGTTTAAAGAAAGAGACACAAGCTAGGGTCAGAGACTAGATACAAACCAAGAAATAAAACCTGATTTCTCAAGAAATTGGTGAATTGATGCGTAAGTATATGTTCAAGCCTAACATGTGACTATTGGAGTCTTTGCAAATTAAAGGATAGTACCCATCAATATTGAGATCTGATAAAGAAACAGCCGAATTGAAATTAGTTTTACAAAGAATAAGCAAGTTTGTTGAATTTTGCAAGAGGTAAGATTCAACTGATGTAAAGTTACTTTTATAAAGTTACTAATATATTGAAACAATTAAGTGGTAGTGATGATTTTTATGTTTAACACTTTTGGTTACTTTGTGCATGGTTTAAGTTTAAAGATAACTTGGTTCATTTCATAAATAGAGCCCGGTATTATAAGCAATGAGCTATGCAGTTGTCTTACAAATTAACTCCAAGTTGTAACTTAGGGCTTCTTATGTGATCTCAACAATGCACATCTAAAGCACTTACACTTATGGCAATGGCGGAACTTCAAAATTTGGGCCCCCCCGCAAAAGAATGTTTTTTTTGTGGAAAAGAGTTTTATAGTATAAATATTATTGAGAGTATAACTTTTTTTATATGAGGGCCCCCTATAGCTGGTAGGCCCCCCCGCAACGCAGGGTCCTGCGTCCAGTAGTTCCGCCACTGACTTATGGGGTACCATCTATTCATAACGTGGCACTGTTAATACTCTGATATTTTACGAAATTAGCCTCTGAGAGCTACCGCAGAGTTTGGGAAACCTTACTACCAGCCGCCTCAGAAACATTAAATTAAAGAAACATTTAAATTAAAAATAAATTTTAAATTAAAACTTGATATATTTAACTAAATTTTCAAAGTCGTTATGCTCCGTACATTGAGGGGGTGTCAGTTTTAATTTAAAACCGTAATTTATTCTTTTTAATTGTTTTGTTTGTTTTTTAGAACGAAATAAGTTTTTCAAGAAACATATTTTATAAAACATTTTATTTTTTCTTCTAATTTGATATTATAATTTGTTTCTCCAATTATGGGTATTTTTTTAGGAAAATGATTTGGAATACGCAGCTCCTATCTGGAATCCTTATAGTCAGTATGATAAAGATAAACTAGAGTGTGTCCAACAAAGAGCTTCTAGAATTAAAATTTTAATAGGATACAGTTATGAAGAGAAGTTAAAGAAGTTGGATTTACTATCGTTGAAGAACAGAAAAAGAAGGGGTGATTTGATACAAATGTTCAAATATTTGAAAGGGTACGATATTATAAATTTTTACACAAAACTCGAAATGCTAGATAACGGATATAAAACTAGAGGTCACAATAGTAAACTGAGAAGGCAATATACAGGAAATATAAAACGACATAATTTTTTTCACAAATAGAGTAGTAAACGACTGGAACAATCTTGAACAAGAAACAATAGACGCAGTCAGTATCAACCAGTTCAAAAAAAATTGGATGAACATTTTAAATACTAACTTTTATTATGTTTGTGTGTTAGTGTGTTACAGCTGTTAAAGTTACAAACTCTACACACTAAAAAAAATAACATCATTATAACATCATTTGATTCTAAAGTTTAAATTGTAACGTTATATATAACGTTATATTTAGATTTATAATGTTATATTATTAAAGTAACGTTATATTTGTACTTTGATGTTATATTTAACGTTATGCTTAACATGTTTAAATGATGTTATATTTTCAGGAATAAAGTATTTAATTTAATTTTGAAACGAGGCCGTTTTAACTATTTTTACTAAACGAGGCCTCGTTTCAAGATTATATTTGATAACTTTAAAATGCGCGAACGACATATTTCTGGCAAAAAAAAAAAATTAATTAATATATAGAAATATACAATTGAAATGTAAATAATAATTAACATATATATATATATATATATATATATATATATATATATATATATATATATATATATATATATATATATATATATATATATATATATATATATATATATATATATATTTATATATATATGTATATATACATATATATATATATATATATATATATATATATATATATATATATATATATATATATATATTATATATATATGTTATAATTTATTTATAAATGTATAGAATATATTACATATATTTATAAATAAATTACAACAATTATTTATGAATAAATTATAACATATTATATATGTATATGATATATATATATATATATATATATATATATATATATATATATATATATATATATATATATATATTATATGTTATATAATATATATATAAATAAAATATATATTTATATATATATATATATATATTTTATATATGTATTATATATATTATATATGTATATGTATATTATATATATAACATATATTTTATATATATAAAAAATATGTTATATATATGCATATATATATAAATAATATATATATATATATATATATATATATATATATATATATATATATATATATATATATATATAAAATTTATATGAGTGTGTATATATATATGTATGTGTGTGTGTGTGTGTGTGTGTGTGTGTGTGTGTGTGTGTGTGTGTGTCTATATGTAAACTAATTATTTTTTATAACTTTATATATAAGTCACAAAGAGTAAATTCAATATGAAAGCTGTAAAAGTTACTTGTAATGGGGAGTCAAAAATTGTTGTTGCCACATCCAATGATCTAAATGCATTTATGGCAAATAGTAAGTTTAGTTGATTTATTTTATAAATTGATAAAATATAAATTAATTATACAACTATATACAGAGTTCCCAAAGTCTTTAAAAAATTTGGAAAGTACTGAAATTTGAATAATTATATGAATATTTTTTTTGCCAACATGATGCTGACCTCTAACAGATTTAATTATATGAATATTTTTTTTGCTAACATGATGCTGACCTCTAACAGATTTAAGTCAGCAAAATATTGTTGACCTCATTTTTTCTAATTCCAAGGGATGTATGTATCTATCTATCTATATATATATATATATATATATATATATATATATATATATATATATATATATATATATATATATATATATATATATATATATATATATATATATATATATATATATATATATATATGTGTGTGTGTGTGTGTGTGTGTGTGTATGTATGTATATTTAGTTATATGTATGTTTATGTGTATGTATAATAAAAATATTTATAAATTTTTTTTTTTTTTAGTTTGTTCTACTTTTAATGTTCCAAACATATCAAATTTAAAATGGCTTGGTTGTGCAGTAAACACTTCAACTTTTCCTGCAGTAATATGTGAGCAATCGGTAGAAATGACAGTAGAAGTTTCCAGTTTCATTGATATTTCAAATAGCTATCCATTAAACGGGTTTTTAGCTCATTTAGAAGACTTTAACAATTCAGAAAGAAATCAAATTAATTCTGCTGTCAATACAGATCAACACATCTTCTTCAATCCCTCTCTTAATTATCAATCACAATCATCATTAAAAAATTATTCAGCTTGCTCTACAACATCATTAACAAATATATCTATAGAAACTGAGAGTGGTACAGAGTTAGTTGCAGACTCATCCAGCTGCAATAGACCTCAAATAACCAAAAGAAAGGTAACATTTTATTGTGCTAATTGTCCTTTTATTTCAGATACTTACACTTTAATAAGAAATCATTTAAAATTACATGGTAATTGTGCTGCAGTGTTTTGTATTAATTGTTTTTCCAAGTTTAAAAGTTTATATGGTTATCAAAAGCACATTGCTAATTGTAGTAAAGAAAATAATACTTTTGATGATAACACTGAACCTAATATAATAGTTGATCAAATAGTGTATGATAATGTTGATGATTTAAATAATGATTATCTTGGTATGTTAGCTTTACATTTGCAGTCTAAGTACAGATGTTCTCAGGCTGTTTTAGATGTTATATTTTCAACTTTAAAAGAGCTATTTACTAACCCAATTTATGATGTAAAAAAACTAAATGATTCCTGTAAGAAATTATCATCACAATATTCTCGTGAAAAATATTTTAAAAATGTATTTTCTATGCCTACTATAAAGATTGTTGGTAAAGGATCAGTTGTTCCACTTATGACGATGCTAGAGTTTTTATTACAATCGCCTGAGATTAAAGAGTTTACGAAGGTATCAAATACATATCATCATAATATATTAGCTATTTATGCAGATGATATTGGGATTACAAATCCAATTGGTAAAGCTCGTTCGAAACACAAACTTTGGGTTATGTACTTTCAAATTCTTAACATTCCTGTAAAGTATAGAGGTAGAACATCATCTATTTTCCCATTGGTTTTTACATTTAGTAAGCTTACTAAAAATTTCATTTATTTTTCTTCTTTACTTAAAGATTTTAAAGAAACGATACAACTATTATATACAGGTGTAAAAATAAGTATTGCTGGAAAGTTAATGACAGTTACAGCTGAGGTTTTATACTTTTCTGGGGATTCTTTAGCAGCAAATTCAATCGGAGGATTTAAAGAAGGATTTAGTCAAAAAACTGTTCGCTGCTGTAGGCGGTGTAATTCTACACGGGCTGAAATGATTGAGTTTACAACACATGAAGAGTGTCTGATTCGAAATTTGCCTGAACATGTCATACGTTTAAATGAATTGAATTCTGGGCTAAGTAAAACTGATAGAACAAAATGGTCAAGAAATTATGGTATTGTTAACTTTAGTATTTTATCAGATATTCCAAATTTCGATGTCACCAAGCAGTTGCTTTTTGATCCTATGCATGATTTATTGGAAGGGGTTGTGCCATTACATCTAGAATTATTTTTACTGTACTGTATACCAGAAAAGTTTCCCTTAGCTGATCTTAACCAATGGCTTCAATCATATAAATATCCTTCTGGTATTGAAAAGCCTGGTATTATTTTACCTTCACTTAAAATCCGAGGACAATTTGGTAGTGGAC